CTGCCCCGCCGCGGAGCGCTGCCGGGGCGGCCCCGTGCCCAGGGTAAGCTGTTGTTCCTTCGCAGGGTTGCTTTGCATAAAGGCTTCTGCGAACGTGCGCTCTGTCCGGCGCTGGCCCGTGTTTGCCTGGGTGATATTAGACCTCTGAGCAGCGGCCAGCTGGGCAGGGGAGCGGGCAGCCTTCCGCCTCTCCTCTGAAAGCTGAAGGTCTCGTGGGAAATGGCTGGTTCAGCTGGCGCAAAGATGTCTCAGAAGGCGAAAGGGGTTTATAAATCTGGGGCTTTTGAGCGCAAGGGCTGTCCCAGGAGCGAGGTGAGGGATAAAAAGGCGATTGGAGAGAAACGTCGTTCAGAGGGTGATCGACATATGGTGCGCGCAGATGGGGAGGCCGAGGGGGACGGCCGGGTGTGAGCAGCGAGGGAGCTCGGCTTCCCTCGGGGCAGGGGGAGAAAGGAACAATGCCAGCGCAGTGGGCAGGGTTGTTTTTTTTTTCCCCCTTCTCCAAGAGGAAAAAAAGCAGTAAATCGTGGCAGCCCTTGGAAGGACGAGTGCGAGGTTTGCTTCTTCCATCTCAGGCTCTGCCCCACAGCCCCACCTCCGGGAATGACGGGGGGGCCAGCGGGTGCCCTGCCCCTCTCGAAGCCGCCGCGGAGCCCCGCTCGTTGTGTCTGTTCACCTCCTGCTCAGGTAGGATGCCAGAGCAGGGGCTGATCCGCTCCTGTCCTCTCCTTCCCTCCCCAGAACTCCTCAGAGATGCCGGAGACCATTACCAGCCGAGATGCTGCTCGTTTTCCCATTGTTGCCAGTTGCACCCTTCTGGGGCTCTACCTCTTCTTTAAAGTAAGTGAGCAATGCTGGCGGGCGCTGGAGCCGGTGCCTGCCATCCTCCCCGCCTGGTCAGGAGCTCCCGAAGTGGGACTGACTCGATTTTTGGCTTACCCTAGTTGGGGGCCCTTAGTGTTGGGACAGAAAGTGTGTAAGGCTGCAGGGCTCGGGCTCTTCAGCGTCACCACGCAGGAGGACGTCGGTTCTCGCCTGACTTGTCACAGCTTGGGGGAAATCAGAGCCTGTTTGTGCACCAGCTGGTTCTGGAGAGCTGCCGAGGGGCGAGTTCACCCCTGAGCTCTGCCTGCCCCCGTGGGCCAACCTGACGGTGCACGGACTGAAACCAGAGGGTGCCAGGGACTGCTGAGTTGGAAACGCTGCTGTCTCTGTGTCGTGCTCCGTGCCGTGCTTCTGAAGCCATCTCGGCTGCAGGCCTGGGGGATTGCTAGCTCATGGGCGAGCCCCTCTCTGTTCAGGTGAAGTCTTTTAGACTTGCAGAGCCAACAAGCAGAGTTAGGTGACCATTCCTGAGTCACGGTTCGGAGATCCCAGCAGCAGGTGCTTTCGGCTGTGTGGAGAAAGTGTCTTGGCTTAAAGCACCTTTGGCTGCCCGTGCACGTCTGGCTGAGCTCCTGGAGGGGCCTGACGAGCCGTGGGGCCGCCAGCGCACAGCGTTCCTGTCAGCGCAGCAGCTTCCAGCCCCGCTGTCCTGGGCCGCCGGCGAGGTGGCAGGGTGCTCCTGGCTGGTTTAAGGTGTAAAGTTGGGAATATTTCAGTTTAAAGTCCCTTCTCCGCCCATCACAGTTACCGCGCAGCAGCCGACTGACGCTGCGGGCTCCTACCCTGGGTCGAGCGGCCGCATGGGCTGACAGCTGCCCCGCGCAGGTCCTTACCCCGGTATGGGCCTGGGCGCCGGCCCATGTACGTCACCAGTAGTAAAGCTGAGCATCTGCTGAGCCTCTCGTGATGGTGGGGTACGGAGCAGCCACCAGACCCTGGCCCCGGGCCCCTTTGACTGCTGAAAGGACCCCCCTGCAGCCCACCCCTTCCCTGTGGCCCACGTCTCGAGGTACTCCTCCACCTCCTCAGGTGCCTTTTCTGCCTCTTGCTCCTGGCTGGGACGGAGGCGCCAGGAAAAGAAGTGCTGAATGTGCAGCGTGGCCCCGCTGAAGTCGCTGCGTGATCGGCAGCTCTTCCTTTTTAATATCTGCAACCTGCCATGAGCTCTCGTATTCCAGCATCCCCTTTCCAGGACGGCATGGAGGACCCCGGGGTCCCCCGCGCTGGGCTGTAGGGGTGTGATTCGGTGGTAAGGCGATGTGTGCGTTGGAGGGCGGGAGTTCTAATAATACCCTGTTTAATTAGGGCAGGACGCACTTGGCCTGCTGCAGTAGCAAGGCAGGGGTGCTGCTGCTCCCCTCTGCCGGGGCAGCCTCCGGGAGCGGTGCGGTGCCTCGCTCCCTGCTCCGGCTCACTCTGCAGGGGACACGCGGGGGAAGCTCTGTCCTCCTTTCTGCAGCGCAGGAGTTATTTTTCGACCCGAGCAGCTCCTAGACGCACGACAACTCGCAAGCCCATTGTGCTTGTTCTGTGAGCACACGGCTATTTCCAACATATTTCCCATCAGTGGCGCAAAAATTTGGGTTATTCCAGCTATTCTTCTCGTCTCCCTGGAGCACTGACACAGCAGCTGCCAATAGAAACGTGAAGTGCCGTAGATGGGGAGGACGCTGCGGTAACTAACCCCTCTCTGGATTTGTCTTGCAGATATTCTCTCAAGAGTACATCAATCTTCTGCTTTCCATGTATTTCTTCGTGCTGGGGATCCTAGCCCTGTCCCACACCATCAGGTACAGCAGAGGGAAGGGTGCGACTGGGGCAGGGGCGTCCGAGGCTGCTCGCTCTGCGAGGCAGCGGGGCATCGAGTTTATTGGGGGGTTTCTAGAGCACCATTGCCTTGCGGCAGAGCCGAGTCCCAGCTCGTAGGGTGTTTTCCCTCGGTGTGAAGCACTCTCCGGGGAGGCAGGCCCAGAGCATACTGTGAACCCTTCCTCATGGGGCAGCCAAGGGCAGAACCGAACTCTCGGGGGTCCCAGCAATCTGGTACCCCATGCAGCATCACTGGGAGAGCTTGTGGAGGCATGGGTGGCTGCTGCCGTAGAAGCTGCTATGGGCTGGCACAGTCCTGGCTGCCCTGTGGAGGGGAGAGCTCCTTGGCACCCGTCTTCCTCTTATTGGGACGGCTGAAACAGGCAGCTGGAGCTCACGATAACGTCCCGGCCTCTTGTGCCGATGCTTGGCACGAGGTGTTGAAAGCACAGGCTGTTTCAGTAACTGAAAAAGTAAAACTGGTTTCCTGTTTCCTGAGCTCTAGGGCGTTGGGGACCAGATGCTTTCCCTAGACTGGCACCGTGGCAAGGCCTTCGCCCCCGCTCCCTGCTCCGCAGGAGGGCCGTTCGGTGGTGGCACAGCCAGTTCTGGGTGACCAGACCCGTACGGTGCCGGGGGGCTGCTGCGGAGGCACAGGGAACCTGCCGGGGTCTGGGGTGGGTCCTAACTTCTTGCGGGTGATGCTCTGTGCCTGTTGCGCTCGAGCATTTTGGGGGACTGTCACATACGGGCAGGTCAGACCTCTGGGGAGAACAAGGGTCCCGTGTCTGCGGCTTGGTGACTGAAGCTGGGGCTCCTGCCAGTCCCTGACGTGGTGAAACCTGGCCTTTCCCTGTCTCTGGGGGGGGTGTGGGCTGACGTCTGTGCTGCCACGCCGTCACGCAAAGGTGCTGGGCAGCGCATCCTGCGGGGTTTCTGTCAAACTGCCCTTCTCTGCACCTCTCGTTTCAGCCCCATGATGAACAGATTCTTCCCTGCAAATTTCCCCAACAAACAGTACCAGCTCCTCTTCACCCAGGGCTCCGGGGAGAGCAAGGAGGGTATGTTGGCTCGCCAGTCTCTCTGGGGGCCTGAATGTTTTCTGCCTTTACTGTTCTTTCTTGCTCACTTGGTGTTTTGACTTTCAGCCCATTGAAGCAACCTTCTCAAAGACTTGCCTCTTGCTCCCTGCTGTGCTGCTGTAGCCAGTGTGAGCCCCGTGTGTCCCTGCAGAGCTGGGGCTGCTGTGTGCGTCTTCTTGCACCGGCTGGTGCCCTCCCTCTGTGCTGCCTCCGGCTGGCAGCGAAACCCCAGAAACAAATCCCAGAGTGCCGTAGGAATGGAGCTATGGCTGCTGTTAAATGCACTGCCTCTATTGGGTAGCATAGTACTGACTTTTTTTGTGCTGCCTTAACTGGTCTGATTCAAATCTTTGCACTGGTAGAAGGTGCTGTGATAAGTATCCTGCCCAGTAGCCCTACTGGTAAGGGAATACTACTTCTAGTGGTACCACCAGGAGTTAACTGGTGCAGGAAGAGGGAGAAGATTTGCCTCTCCCTGCCTTAGACAGTGCCTGAATCCAATTTTCTTATTGACAGAAGGATCGCAGATGCTGTCCATGTGGCAGAGTCTGGCTGAAGGAGAAGGTCCGGGCTTGCCAGGGCCGGCTGCTCGCTCGCATGCGGTTTGCACGTGTTTACCGTGGGCACCACCATTTCTGTGGGTACAGTCCCCTCGTTTGGGACGTGAGCGCTGCTCCCCAGCTGTAAAGTCACTCATCTCTGCCCTGCGCGGGAAGGGGAGCTGCCCGGGCTGCCCAAAATCTGACTTCTCCGTTTTATTGCAGAAATAGTGAATTACGAGTTTGACACCAAGGATCTCGTATGCCTGGCCCTGAGCAGCGTTGTGGGGGTCTGGTACCTGCTGAGAAAGGTAAGCGAGCCGCAGCCCTGTCGCGGGGAGGCCGGGGACCAGGCTGGATCAGACCTGGGCCCCTTTCCACGCAAGGCCTCTGCAGGCTGAGGCCGTGGCTCGGCACGTGCAGTGGGACCCAGATCTCCTTCCCCTGTCGTTCTCAGCACTGGATTGCCAACAATCTCTTTGGGCTGGCGTTCTCCCTCAACGGGGTGGAGCTGCTGCACTTGAACAACGTCAGCACTGGCTGCATCTTGCTCGGGGGCCTCTTCATCTACGACGTCTTCTGGGTAAACGGGAGCGTTCCCCGGGGCGGACGCGAGTTGCAGCCATTGGCGGAAGGCATGTGCGTGGCATTATGCCTCCTCGGAGGCAGCATGCTGGCTGGACACACGTTTGCAGTCAGGATTTCCACTTTCTCAGCCCAAAGGGGTGTGGTGGGGATGATGACAGAATCAAATAGTGGCAGAACGTGGCTCGGCAAATGTATATTCTTTTAATCTCAGAGAGCCCGGGGCTGGCAGGGATCTCATCAGGGCTGTTGTGGGGTACCCGGGTGTGCGGCGTATCCAGTTCTGGTGACCTGTATTCCCAACTAAGGTCTTCCCAATGCCTGACAGAGCTGCTGGATGGGCTGGAGGACAAGGCTGCTCTGGGGTACGCTGATCCTGCTTGTACGGGCTGTGCCTCAGCTCTTGTCATCTGCTGGCTTCGTTAGCGTCCTTCTGTTCTCTTGCACAGAGGACCAGATACTGGAATGCCTCCAGTCTCTTTCCCTCAGCCGCTGCAGTGCCCCGACATCTTCATTTTGAGGTTTTCCTTATCTCTCTGCAATGGGCCTGGACCCCTGTTTCTCCTTGTAATGTCCATATTCCCCAGTCCTTCCTGCTGCCTCCACCTTCTGAATTACTGGGTTTCCAAATGTCTGAGCGCCTTGTATACCTTGAGGTCTGTCCAGCAGCTCTGCAGCTGCCTGAGTAATCCTTCCCTATTTAAGCCTGGCTACTGTGTGTTATTTTGTACTTGGCCGGTGCTGCCCCTGTTTCATAGGCTCGTTAACAGTCTCAGCTCTGTGGTTCGTTAGCCTGCGTGCCACTTCCTCCGCTGCTCTCAGCTGGAGAGGATTCAGCCTTCTGGCTTAGCACACCCGGTGCCTCGTGCCCTGCTCGGGGTGCGAGTGTCTTCCCAGTGCTTCGGGGACAGCGAGAATGCAACCCTCGCTGCTCTCCTCTTGCCGGCTGTCCCCCACCGCGGCTTCCCCGGCAGGTCAGCGTATTGCCGGAGCCTCACGGAAGGGCTGTCTTGACATGGAGGCCCTCTCACTGTGCCCATCTGCGGGGACCAGTCGCTTGGATCTTAGCACGGATTTAATCACAGTGAGATCCAAGGAGGGTTTCAAGGAGGAAGGAGAACTGCTCGGTGGATCGATGATATTGCCCCCTGCATAGTCTTGGGCTGAATTTGCATGTGACGCGTTTCCCTGGTCCCGGTGTGGAGTCCTGTCGCTCCGTGGCGATGCCCAGAGCTTGCTGCACCTTATGGGAGTTAATCTGACGCCCAATGCTTGCTTTAAGGTTTCTCTTTAATCGCTAGCTCTAGGATCTTGCTCACCTGATGCTAACCAGCACCTGGTTTATGTGCCTGCTGCTGGTACAGCCAAGACTGGAGGCTTTGGAGGTGAAAAGGAACAGAAATAAGGGTGGTTGACCTATGTGTTTACGGTCCTCCCCCAAACGATGCCAGTATTTAAAGCTGATGGTGCAGTACAAATAAATGACCTCAGAGCAAAATGCAGCTGATCTGACAATTGCTCCGGTCCCCGTTGGAAGCTCACGGGCAGCAGCCTGGCGCTGCCTGGGACCCTGCAGAGAGCTCCTGCCCTCAGATAACATCCTGCACGGTGGTCAGGCTTTCCACTGAGTTGACTAATTAGAGCTGAACCGACCCGCAGGGGTAGGTGCTGGGGAAGGTTGGGTGGTGGGCAGCACCGCGGCTCTGCCATGTGAGCGGTCTCCCCGGCGCTGCTCTGAAAGCAGGACGGCTGTGACGTGGTCACCTCCTCGAGTTCTGTCCTGTGCCTTCTCCCCTGGGCGGTGGGCTCACTTGCAGGGCTCCTCTGCCCACAGCTCGGTGGCTCTTTGGCTGTTTTCTGCCGCTGAGGCCGCTCCAGGCCCCGAGGTGACGCCGTAGCTGAGCGTGTGTGTGTCCCTGTGCAGCTGTGGTCACCCCAGACTCCTCTGCTTGCCCCTAGGTCTTCGGCACCAATGTGATGGTGACAGTTGCCAAATCGTTCGAGGCCCCGATAAAACGTGAGTAGATCTTCCCTGTGTGCTGGAGGAGGGGCTGCCCGTTCTGCTGCGGTCGCTGCCCTGTGCACCCTCTGCCTTCTGGAGATGGCTCAGAAGGTGGGATGTGTGCAGGAAGGTTTCCTGCTAGTGACGCCTTAGACTGTTGCGTGGTGCCACCGACCTGCAGGGAGCCGGGCCTGGTCTCTGGAGAGGGATGGTTTGCAGAGCCCTGAGCTGGCTGGGTTAGTCTGCACCCCCAGAGCGGGCAATTTCACCTGCTCATAAAAAAAAAAAAATAATGCAAAAAACCCCACAGACCCCCCAAAACAGCAGGAGGGGCGAATTTGCGCTGTTGTGGAGCGGGCAGTGGTTTGGGTCCTGGGAGCTGAGGCTGAAACCTGTGCGTGGGGCTGGCCCCGAACCCCTCAGTTTCCCATCCTGATGCCCAGAGTTGTCCCAGGAAGGAGAACAAAGGGGAGCTGCAGGGGAGGAGGAGACTGAGGGCAGGGACGGGGGTCTTGCCCTGCTCTGGTCCCTTTTTGCCAGGCACAGCGGTGCTGAGGTCTGCTCAGCACAGACACTCCCCCCTCACTGTTCCTCCCTCTACTCCTCGTAGTGGTTTTCCCTCAGGACCTGCTGGAGAAGGGGCTGGAGGCCGACAACTTTGCCATGCTGGGTCTGGGAGACATTGTCATTCCAGGTAAGGACAGAAGAGGGGGGACGTGACCGGGATCGCCTGTCTGAATGGGCTGCGGGGAGCTGAGCGGGTGCCTCGCTCTGCCTTTGACCATGCCGGAGCCCTGCGGGCCTCCTGCCGGGGCTGGGGGGCTGCGTGGGCTGGGGGCTGCGTGGACTGGGGGGGTCTCCCATCGGATCCGGGTGCTGTCCCGGTGCCTTGTGCCACGAGAGGGCACTGTCAGCCCAGGCACGGCACCCGGAGCCGCTGTGGGTCCTGCCCTGTCTCGCTCAGCCTTCCCTAGGACCTCCATCCCCTCACTGTCCCCTTCTCCCCGCAGGGATCTTCATTGCCTTGCTGCTGCGGTTTGACATCAGGTGAGTGGGCGGTAGGGAAGGGTCTCTGGCAGGTTGCATCTTGCAGCATATTTGAGCTGCTTTTGTAGAGGAAAAGGGGAAGAGGAAGCCAGGAGAACAGTCGTGTGCTCCCCTCCGGGGCTTGGCGTGGGGACCCGGGAGAGTGGCTGGGACTGGGGGGTGCAAGGGGAAGCTCTTGGAAGAGTAAGACGTGAGCAGGGCTGGCTTTTTGGGTAAGTCCTGAGCGCTGGGGGTGAGTTGTTTGAGCTCATGGGTGTTGCTGTACGCGTGGCAGGGTGGGCAGGGCAGGCAGCAACAGGGGAAGGGGCCAGGGCAGCAGCACGTAATGGCCCCCCAGAGCCTCACCAGCTCCCTGGCACCGAGGAGGAGAGGGCAGTGCTGCGGCGGCAAGGGGAAGCGGCGACGGCATGGGAAAGAGCCAGGGGTGCTGGCACCTGGGAAGTGCTCGCGTGGATGCAAATCGGTGCCCGGCAGTGCTGGCTGCCTCTGGGTTGCCGTTGGGGAAAGCAGCTCCCTCCTACGCGGGGAAGCTGCGCCTACTGCCAGGGTGTAGCTTTCAGCCGTTGCCCCACACCGAAAGTCACCGGCTGGGGAGCTGCCGGGAATGGGCCGCTTCGTGTGACTGCGGTGGTGTGGCCCCGCTCCCACTGCTGTTGCACAGGCCCTCCGGTCTGTGCCAGCTCTTCCAGGTGTTTCCACCCACATCCTGCCTGCACCTGCTGGGAATCCCAGTTCCCGCGGCCTGCCCTGCAATAAAACAGCATGTGCTGAGAGCGGGGTGCCAGGGACCGGCCGTGCCTCCCCTGAGAAGGTGGGGGGACCCTCTCCCCGGGTCCCAGCACCGATTCCTCTCCCCCCCCCCCCCCGCCCCAGCAGCCCCCCGATAAAAGCCAGGGGCAGCGGGTATCTTGACACCCCGTCCCAGCAGCAGGATCATGCGCCTCCTTCCCTTCCCCAGCCCCTCACCTGGGTGTCACCCCACCCAGTCCCTCGCTGCTCCCGCGGGACTGGGGGCTGTGCTGGTGGCAGTATCTGCGCTGGCCCGAGGGCATGGGCAGAGCAGAGCTCCCTGTGCCCCAGCGGGAGATGGCTGAGAACGCTGGGCCAGCTCCGTTTCGGCCACTGGCGTCCCAGACCCGAGGTCACTGGGCTCTGCTCCCTTTCCCTACAGCTTGAAGAAGAACACGCACACGTATTTCTACACCAGCTTTGTGGCCTACATCTTCGGGCTGGGCCTGACCATATTCATCATGCACATCTTCAAGCACGCCCAGGTGAGCTCCGCTGCGCTGCCTCCCGCAGATGCACGTCCCAAGTGGGACACGCCAGCTTGGCCACGAGGTTCCTGCATCATGCCAGGAAAAAGTAGATGCATTTCTTCTTTTGGCTTTGCTTTTCCAGTCCCTGCCTGTACCTTTCTCTGCCCAAAGCTTGTGTGCCTGGCTGGAGCGGAGTCCTGTTTGGGGCAAGGCTGGTTCAGGCAGCTGTGTTTCCAACAACAGCACCTCAGCCGGGCTGCCCTGTGTTTTTGTGGCTCTTTGCAACCAAGCTGCCCCTGAAGACCCACCCTCCGTGCTGCGGAGGGGTCCTGGGAGCCCACACACCTGTGCTGATCTGCACAGGGGCCCTCAGTGTGTTCGTGGCCCGCTGGGACCTCACGGTGAGGGTTTTGTGCTGCTGCAGCTGTAACTTGGCTCTCAAAGCCGCTTTCTGGGGCATTAATCCTCTGTGCAGCGCTGTGACAGACGCCATGGGTGCAGAGGGGACAGGGCCAGCTCGCCTCGCGCTCCTCCCGAGGGGTGATTTGTGGTTTGGTTTAACAGTTGTTTTTCTTCCCAACAGCCTGCTCTTCTGTACCTGGTCCCTGCATGCATCGGATTCCCGCTTCTTGTGGCCTTGGCAAAGGGAGAAGTAACTGAAATGTTCAGGTGAGCGTCAGCTGGGGACGGAGCTGTTTTGCCCGCGGCTCTGGAGCGCATGAAGCGTGCAGATGTTCCCACGCCTGGGCACAGCTGGAGGGACGGGTTCATCTGGGCATGCTCTGGGTGTGCGCGTGTACGTGCGTGGGTGGAGGGAGTGGGTCTGTGTTTGTACACGCCGGCCCTGGCTCCAGCCACCTCCTCGTAGCCGGGTGGGAGCTTTGGTGCGGTACCAACAGGCAGGCAGCATCTGGTATTGCTTTATGCCTCGGTGACAAACTCTTCCCGTGTGCTGGCAGGCAGGGGAGGGTGGGACCGCGCACCTGGTGCCGAGATACTTGGTCATTGTGTCCCAGGGCCTGTGGGTGGGGGAGAACGGAGCCGGATCCGGCTGCGAGAGCAGCCAGGGCTGGTTCGAGCACATCCCAGCCTCCCCGCTCGGGTGAAGTACCCTGGTTTGCAGCAGTCTCCCTGCCCCGGGAACTGTAGGTGCAGAGAAAGGGGTCTGTGCTGTGCTGTTGCGCTCCGGCCCTTTTCTCAGCCTGCCGTGCTCCAGGCGAACGCCTGTTCGCTGTCGGCGGGCAGCTTTGGTCTCCTGCCTGGACTGTCCCCTCTGAGCCATGTGGAGCATGGCCTGGCCTGCCTGGAAGCTGTTTCTCCACTGTGCTCGGCCGGTTGTGCTCGAGGCTCGGTGGTGGCCCAGTGCAGTTGTTTGTTTGAAGACGGCTGAAGCAGAGGAGGGAAGGGAACATCCGTCCCAAAGCAGGGCCGTTCACCCCCCCCAGCCTCCCCGCTCCGGGGGTGCCCCTGCCCGCAGGGGCCTGCCCGAGCCCCCAGCCTGCTCAGAGGGAAACCAGCACCCGACTGGGGCACGGCGGGGAGCCAGCTGCCCTCGCCTCCTTCCCCTCCCCTGGGAGACGCAGGTATGCGTGTTCCCACCGGGCTGTCAGCTGGGCCGGCTCCCCAGCCCTGCCGCACCTGCCCGTCCTTTGATGTCTGCTTCTGACGATCGCTGCTGCAGGCGCCGAGTGTCCTGGGATCGTCCTTCCTGGGAGCCAGCCTCGCCTCCTTCCCCTCCCCCCCCCGAAACTGGGAGAGACAGCTGCCAGCTGCCCCTTCCCCTCCCCTGGGAGACGGGAGAC